TGGTTTTATGACCTCATCATAAAACATACATGCATGCATGGTAAATTTCCAAGCACAATCAAAGACAAAGTTCTTCGGTGAGTAATTAACAAAACATAAACGTGTTATTAGGCTATTAATTATTAATGCAGCATTAATAGTTTTACTATGATTAAATTATATTGGTCGACAACCATCTATATGATATTTATCAATGGAGCTATATAATACATTGGTGATCCTCCAGGCATATTTTTTAACCATTGATTAAGAAAACTTTTGACTACTTTTCATAATTAATTTGAGATTAAGGAGTTGTTTGATAATCTATTTAAGTAGCTTAAAAAATTAGGTTGTAATACTTAATATAAAAATTTTGTTTGATAATCTAAATAATCTTATCTTTAGAATTTGAATTCAATCGAAATTCATTTAATTAGATAAGTTAAAGTTTTTAACTTAAAATTTTTTGATTAACATACTCATTAGAAAGATTTTTAAAATTTTTAAATATGATTATATAGCCCTCATATATTCTTATAATACTAACAATAGAGATCATTAAAAAAAAATAGATCTATGACAAAAACTAAATCCGTAAAGTATTATCGAGCTTTTTCCGGATGAAGTAACTTCCCTGTGAATTTAAGTCGCTTATTAAGCATCCATTCCTCGGTCTTCCTTTTGATCATTTTAAGCTCAAAATCTGTATTCTACCAAAACAAAATGTTTTTTAAATAATAAAAATTAAAATCATTGAAAGAAGGAAGATTAAAAAAAGAATAGAAAAAAGAAACCTTCTCTTTATTGAAATGCTACAACGCAATTCTAAATTAGAAAGATAACCCTCTTTTGAAGAAGAAACCACTTTTTTCTTTACAAGGAGGAAGATATAACAACATGAATTAGTAGAGGTTGAAGAATAACATGCGATTAAACATAAGAAGAAGGATATAAAAGATCATACAACTCGATTTGGCGTAGGAGCTCACGTACTAATCCTTGACTCTATCCTCTTCTATCGTAATTAGTAAACAAGAAACAAATGGTATTATTTTAAAACAAGCTTAAAATTATCATATATATAGCCTTAATATGTTCAACAATAGAGATCATTGAAAAAAATAGATCCATGACAAAAACTAAATCCGTAAAGTATTACCTAGCTTTCTCCGGATGAAGTAACTTCCTCGTGAATTTAAGTCGTTTGTTAAGCATCCATTCCTCAATCTTCCCTTTGATCATTTTAAGCTTGAAATTTGTATTCTGCAATAAGAAAACATTTTTTTAAATAACCAAAATTAAAATCATTGAAATAAGGCGAGGTTAAAAAAGAAAAGAATAGGAAAAAAACCTTTTCTTTGTTGAAATGCTACAATGCCAATTCTAAATTAGAAAGATAGCCCTCGTTTAAAGAAGAAACCACTTTTTCTTTACAAGAAGGAAGATATAAATACATGAATTAGTACGAGTAAAAGAATAATAAGCGAGTAAATACAAAAAGAAGGATATAAAAGATCATACAACCTCGATTTGGTGTAGGAGCTTGCGTACTAATCCCTAACTTTATTCTCCTTTGTTGTAATTAGTAAACAAAGAACAAATGGTATTGTTTCAAAACAAGGTTAAAATTGTCATATATATAATCTTAATATGTTCAAGCAACGAGTGCTTATCAAACAACTTTATTATATTCAATACTTAATTTTCGATAAATACCAAACAGTTTGTCGATAACATATTTAATACTTAATTATTTAGTATTTAAAATTCAGTATTTAACGGATTCATCACTTAATTTTCGGTTTTATTAAACACCACTTATGTATTTGGCAATGATAATAGACTAGTCTGCAGCTATGCTATATTTATAGATGTGATTGTGATTGTAATTATTGTTGTATTTATGATGATAGAATAAAAAACATATTGTTTGATAAATGTACAATTAAAAGTGTATTTACAATGTATAATATACTTAAAATTGTAAAGTAAATGGTATAAAAAGCCACCATCATAATTGAAAAGTTTTAAAATTAATGGAGCTTTTTAGCTTTTGACTTTTCTAACTTGATGCCCTCAAGAAACCTACTTAGCTACATAAAAGTTGTTATTAATTAATCAAATCAGTGCTACATTGTTTCATATATGATTATATTTAAGCGAGTTGGTGAGATTTTTTTCTCGTGATTACTTTTAAGATTTAAATTATGATATTAATAGCATAGAAAGCAAATTTAGTTACCATCTAGATTAAGAGTGATTAATTTTGGCATGAATTATGAAAAATAAATTTTGACTTTGATCGGTTCCAATACAAAAATTAATTTTCATAAACAACCTACAATACAATATAAATGAGTTAAGTTAGATTTGTCTTTTAAAAACATTCCTTAAAGTAACTTTTATAAAGAATGCATGCGAGTGTTGTAAATTAGATCCGATAATTAAATATATATATATATAATTTAAAACAGAAATTTTGACACAATATTTTAATTTAATTCAAAAGTTTTTCAATTCCTAACTAAACATATTTATTAAGGTCTTGGCATTGCTATGGAATGGAGTCGGGATATAAATTGAGCTCAGTTTTCCAAAGAAAAGAGACTAGGTAGCTATAAGAGCAGCGGTCGATCAGTGGGAATACTACTTGATTTTTCTTAGTCAGAAATTGCAAAAATAATTTAAAGTAATTTGAAAAATTCATACCATATAAAACCTAAGTCTTAAAGAATCTACCGGAACTCCTAATAGGATATCCCTAGCTAGGTACCCCCATTATATGGTTAACCAAGGACTTTCACAAAAGTGGCATCCAAATTCAAGAGAGTTAGTACCCTAATGATGCTGGTATCTTGGTAAACCCGTGTTTGATGGGTCAAATTATATAATTAAGATCCAAAAAACCCAATCTACGGTCATTGTCAACAAGATACGGCTTTGCTTTCTCCCTCATAATTAATAATATTGACATTAATTCTCCACATAATTTATAATATTAGACCCCCGTCCTTCACATATTGCCGCATCAAACTTGACTAAAGGAGAAAGAAATCCTTCAATTTTTTTTTTTTTTAGTTCTTACTCCGAAATATATCTAAAATATTTGCAGCAGATTATATCCTATAGCTAAATAACCAAAGAAAAAGAAATCTAGCTACAGATTTTACCAGCTTCAGAAGTACACAAATGCAGCTTCTATCCGGGTTTTTTTTTTTTTTTTGACAACTTTTTATGATTACCCTACGAAGTTTTATACATACACTCATGAATACAAGCTTTTTAATTAATTTCTGGTGGTAATTTTTTGAGGTCTATTATTTCTAAAGTGATATATTAATTGAAGATAATCTAATTTATTTGATAACCTTTGTGTACGTAGATACTAACATAATTAATTATAAGCATTTTGGAGGCCGTCCGCATGACAATTTGCTCCTGCTCTTCGTCCATGCTGGTGTATTTAATTTATTGAAAAGTTAAAAAAGATAACCACAGACAACGTTCAGATTCTCTGGATCAGTTTTTAATATTTGGCCAAACTTGTTTTATTCGAGAAACATAACTAACCTTTGCATTTGGCCTCATCTGCATCGATCACGTTTTCATTGATTGGCCATTTTCATGTGCTAATGAGAAATTAGAAATCAATCTAGGCCGTCCAATTGTTACCTCTTTACCTGACACGGTTCATGTACTATATGTCGTCACCAAATGCCATAACTGATTAGCCTGGCCTAATTAAAGATCTAAAGGGTGAGCTATAAAGATACAATAATGGAAACACTCAAGGACAAATGGTCTGGTGTTAACCTTACCTAAACCAACTAACTTTACTATGAAGAATTAATTAATTAAGCATGTGATAGATAAAAAAAAAATTTCATTCTTTTGTCGTAGTTGTTAGTATCCCTCCTTTTTATTGATAACAGTTGGGATCTCTTTGTTTCTCTCCCCTTTTGTACAGAAATGAAAACAAAAGTAGCTCTCAATTCTTGTAATATTCTTAATACCGTGCCTTATTGCTCTCTTCTATGAATATATGGGGGTTCGCAATGCACTTTTCGGGGTGTTTCATGGACTGATTCGATCGAGTTTGACAGTCCAAATTTTGGACTGAATGCAAAATATTAAATTAAAATCAAGTTGATAAGCCTTTTTTTTATTGGTCTGGATCAGTATCATGTTGATAGCTTGGAGCGTATAGTGATAACTTGGTTATTGGTAAGACAAAACTGTGCCAACCTCTATGCGTATAAAATTGTATTTAATTTGCTTCATTCGACCATTAAAATTTTGCTAAACTCAGATACTGATAAACTTAATTTGTTTAATTCTGTCTTCTGGTCTGTACCTCTCCACACATTCACCTGTAATATAATATCCCAAATGTTGACAATTGCGATGATAATACCCATAAATTGGACGTACTTCCTGGCTACCGAAAGGTTCAATATTTCACCGCAAAGGCCCCCTATGGAGTAGCAGGCTCCTTGTGAGTATATATATATGTATGTTTGCGAAACTCCCCAAACATGTTAATTATTATATTAATAATTAATTAGCTCTTGGTTGTCGATGTGCAGGACCACAACAAAAATCATGGCAAATGAAACCAACTCTGCCCTGCAGCCATGCCATGCATCGCCAATTAGCTGGGCAGATTACCAGGCAAATCAAGCGTCCATCCAAACTCCAAAGTAGCTAGGAACACTAAACAAGAAAAGCTTAAAACTTGCATAAAACCAACACAACATAACCATATTAAAAATGATTCTAAAACATATATATATCTATATAACATGCATCGAGACATTAACATCCCACGCGGGTCTCCAAATTATTTGACCCCATTACGACTGACCTTTACTGCCTTCAGGCATGAAAACATCCCTTTTTCACCAAATACAAAGCGATTCCACAAAACAACGAGAAAACGTACCACCTCTAACATGCGTCACATATGCCCTTTCTTTTTAACTAGCAAAACAAAGTTTAAAAGATGTACATAGTTGACATCATACCAACAAACGTGAAACGTTATGTTGCCGAAGGCCTTCAGGTTTCCGGTGGATGTCGGATTCCGGCGAGGGCGAAGACAATAAGCAAACAACTATATCGGCAAAAGCGCTAACGATAAACTTGTGGGTGTGTTGAGGGTTTAATTTAAGATAGCAGGAGAGCAACTCATGCAAGTAGTCCCAATTAGCCCTAACGTCCCTCAGCTCTCTTGCTTCAATCATCTCTTGCATTGAGTGTTTAAAATCAGTATAAGGATCTGGTGAGTACTTTTTAATTGCAACACCTCCGCTAACTGGTGCGTGAGGCTCTGGCAACGACTCGATGATGGAGTTGGAACGGCCGGGGGAGGAGAAGAACAAACGTTGGGAGGCAAAAATGGTGGCAAAATCAGGGGGTGAATCGGTGTCAGAATCAGAGTAAGAGGAGGAGAAGGAGTTGGTGAGGGATTTGGAGGTGGATGCTGAGGAGAGGTCGTAAAGGGAGCTGAAGTTCTTGACCGTTATTGATGTGGTGGGGGTGGTGAGGGTAGTGGATGATGGTAATGGATCAGTACTACACTCCTTCAACTCTGAGGGTGAGGATGGTGTTATGGTGGGTAAGCATTTGAGAATGTTCTTCCAGAAGATGGTAGGCATTTTTTCTCTTGATGGAATGATCAGAAAGGTAGAGATTATAATGTTTCTACTGTGGAAATGGGGAAACAATTGAAGGAAGGAACGTTGAATGGTGGGGATTTTATTTGGTGAGAGAGCAACTGTGCAAGTTTGCGGAGGAGTGAGATTGAGAAGCAAAAGCAACATTAATTTACTTATGTTTTCCACTCCTATCATTATTATTTTTTTTATTAAAGGCTTCTGTAGCTAGGCTAATACATATGGGGACATCTCGTAGACTTGAAATGTTGTGTAGGGTAATGTAGATTTCAGTTGTGTCTTGTGCATGCCTACAGAAGAAAAGGTTTTGTGACGTGGTGTAGTTTCCTTGCCGTTACATTGGGCTAATTAATTAACCAGTAACAGTGAAATGTTGTTTTAGTGTGTATCCGAGATTAAAAATGCTGCAAAAGACATCACCACATGCACATGTTTCCTCAGAATTCTTATGGTATATCTATTATTGTTGTACTTAATTTGTTTAACGTGCATTATCAGTTTAACATGATCCGCAACTCATTTATATCTTTTTGGGCCAACAATCATTAAGATATGATGGTACCTCTTATCTAAATAATTGACAGTCTCAGCCAATGCAAGCAAAATTACCTTTATAGTTGCTTCGATCGAATACAAAGAAATGAATGCGTTTCTCTTTATTTTCTAAATCCTAAATACACAAGAGGGTTTAGATCATTTGTTCGGTCAATTTGGACTGATAAATAACCTTTACTAAACCTTAATTAATTGCCTTGCAGCATATGATGATATGATACAATAGCAGGCTTCATAAAAAAGCTTAATTGATGCATAGTTTTAAATTGATGCATAGTTTTAAATTATAAATGATTGAAAAAATAATCACGATTGTTATCATGAATCATAATTTATTATAATATTAAAATAACAATAATAAAATTTTTCGTTACATAATAATAATTATTTGAAACTATGCTATGATGGTAAATGCAAACCTTGCTTTTATTCAGCATTGATTTGGGCTTCAGAGTAGAGGAACCGTGCAGTTCCTATCAATGGAAAGTTCCATTTCTTAACTCCTGCTCGTAGTACAATAATCAATGCCTGGCCGAGTGGTTAATAATGCAAGCCAAAAAAAAAAAAAAAAGTGAGAGAAGGGTCACCCCTAGATCTAACTAATTAATTTAGGGTTACGTACACTGTCCAATCCGCTTCTCATGGAAGTTTACTTGTATTTGTGGCCTGTATGGTTTTGCTGGCACCGAGCTTCGCACTGCATCAAATTAACAGTCCCCATATCCTAAAGATCCCCACTCTCAAAATTGGGGATTCAGAAGTATAAAGTTAAAATTCCATTCTCAAGCTGTAGAGGTATATCCCCTTGTTTGAAACGATGGTACGTAAGAATTCATTGCATAGAGTTCAATTGTAAATTGCACATGAGAGTATGAACAATCTGATGATAACCTGGCGTATATTTTAACTCCCAATCGAAGCAGGAAATGATCTCTGAAAAGGCAAACAAAAATTAAAAGACTATTGCAGGTTTTTTCGTATCGAGTTCAATTAAGAAAACCTTGTGATAAAAAAAAAGGTAAAAAATGATTGAGACTTGTTTTGTAGACCAATTAATCTCTCAATTTTACAGGTGGACTTATAAATATAAACTACAACTACTGATTATAATGTTCCTGAATTTTAAAATTACAAAAAAAAATGAAATGAATTAGCCGGATTACAATAGCCTTGGGAACTCATTGCAGAAAAGCCTTGACCTCCTAAACAGGTTGGGTTCTAGAATTAGAAGACGAATAACTTGAAGTAAAATGAATACATATTAAGATAGAAGTCAAACTCTTTAATCTGAATAACAATACTAAACTACTAAACTAAGAATTTAAGTAATTAAAATTAAGATCCAAAGTCTTCAATATAAATAAAAACTTGAACAAACTAAAAATCTTTATAAAATAAAAATAATATTGTAGTTTTTACAATACTAAATTGAATAAATTTACGAGTAAAAAAATTATGAGTATTCATAAACTGACACTTCAAACATAATAATTGATTATGAAAATCGAAGGATGGTGGATGCAAACACGAGAAGAGAATGAAAATCAATTACCGAGTTATCGCCTACTCGATTATTATCTACAAATTATCATCTACATATTGTTGTCTACAAACTATTGTTTAACATGTTTCAAGTATAAAATTTGTGATAATACTCATTAAGTTGTTTGCAAATATGTAAGAGTATGTTTGTGTTTAATATTCTTACTTGTAGTTGTCTTTAGTTTCAGTTGGTATTTATAGATTTTTTGTTGCCTTATGACCTCTAATAATGGGCCACTTTCTCCGATGCAAGCCGTAGTGTTCCAAGGTCTTTCTTTCTTGTGCTCGCCATACATTTGTGCCTTTTTTTTTTTTTTTTTTTTTTTTTTTTTGCGATTCTTAAGTTCCTCCTATGATGGAAGTCTCGTTATTTTTCTAACTAACCGTATACTACTTGTTAGTAGTCATCTATCTTTTTTTAAATGGGACTAGCATATATCTCGCGCGTTATCACATGGTGAATTATAAAACATTCTTATGTATTTATTAATATAAAATTAAACATTTACAAATTATTATTTGACAATATCATGTGAAAATAATTTTTTTAAAAAAAACTAAATAATATATTTCATAATTTGCTACAAGGTTAGCTAAATGAAAAGTCCGCACAATTGAGTAATATAATGTTGCTAATTAGATATTGTTTGATATAAACATGTATTTTATTAATAGTTGATAATTAAAATAATAATGTGGTAGTTTTTTAAATTTTCGATGATTAATTTTTACCATATATTATTCATCCGTAATTTGTTAATGAGACAGAGAGACAACTTAAAATAAAAAGACAAAAAAGCTCGTCAAATCGAGAATTTGGCAAAGAAAATAGAGATAAAATTACATACGATAAAAATTAAATGATTAAAACAAAGTAAAGATTATAAAAAGGATAAAAATAAATAAATAAAACTTCTACTAAAAGCATACAAAAATGCATAAGGCAGGAATAAAAGTAAACATTATAGAATTTTAATGACTAAAATAAAAAAAATTAATAAAATAAGAATTAAAACATAAAATTTTTCACTAAAAATAAAAAAAACTTCGCATAGTTAAAATGTATTTAATTTTAATGTAAAATGAATAATAATTAAATATAATAAAAGTTTCATGATCAAAATAAATGAAAGATCATAAAAAAAAAACCAAATTATAAAAAAAAGTTTTATTAAAAGTAAAAAATAGTTCCTTGTAGGAAAAAAAATTAATGATCAAAATAAAAAACAATTACAAAACAAAGACTAAAAAAAAAATTTCTACTAAATTTAATGACAAAAAGAAAGAAAAGATAACAAAACAGAAATTAGAATAGAAAGAAAATTTCAATAAAATAAAAAAACAACCTTAGGATAGTAAACTTTATTTATTTTTAGTATAGTAAGGATAAAAATTAAATATGAGAAAATTTTAATAACTACAATAAAAAAATATATTAAAAAATAGAAAAAAAAGAACATAAATTTTTACTAAAAGTTAAAAAAATTTTAATTATAAGGATAAAAATCACATATAATAAAAATTTAATATTTCGATAGAAATAAAAATCAAAGATCAGAAAAGATTAATGACCCAAAAAAAAAAAGAATGAAGGGATCAAAATAAATAGATTATTCCTAAGACGAAACGGAAGGGAAAAAAACGAAAAAAAAACGACTAGGCTCGCGCGTCATGCCTAATTGAGCGACTCATGCTTGCGCGTCGAGCTCAGGCTACCGCAAAAAAAAAATAATAATAATAAATAAAAAGAAGAAGAAGAAGAAGAAAGAAAGATGATGATGATTATGATAATGCCGCAACTTCCGACGAATCGAGTCATCGGAATCTTCGTCGAAAAATCGACGATCAAGTTTCAAACCCGTAAAAATTGAATTCCGACATCATTTTTTTTTCCAAATACCTCTAAATGATTGGAATAAAGCCAATAAACACATCTAAAACTTTAAAAATAATTTTAATACACACAAAAATAAAGAAAAATACAAAATCAAATCGGATTTTTTTCTTTTTTTAGCTCGATCTACCTCCTCGAATGGTTTAATGGCTTGAAACTACCATGGACAAACTCATCTCTCAAAAATAAAAAAAAATTTAGTGGATTATTGTCGACCAAAGTAGCCTAAATAAGCTTGGTCGATGATTTCTCTCTCTTTCCCCCTCCCTTCTCTCTCATTCAGAGACCAAAATGGATGAGCAAATGAAGATATAGATCGAAATATTCGTTGACAAATATTAGGGACCAAAGTATAAAAAAATCAATATTAGTGTGCTAACAGTGTTTAAAATAATAAACCATCGTTTTGTTTTAATTTATTTAGTTAATTTTCATCTATTTTCTATTGGCGTCGGAGGGAGCTCCAACCATGTAACTTAAGATGACTGAATGAGTCTTTTTTTTTTTAATGCTTGTTGGGCCTTGTAGGTTGGCAGAGAACTTAGTCCAATAGGCTTTTAAATAAATCGACCAGCAAATTTAATTGAAGAATTTAATGAGTTTCCTCCCAGTCTTGCATCTAATTTGTTGGATTCAAAATCAGAATAAATTTAGATATAACAAAGACAAATATAAAAACCCAAATTTCTAACAATTAATTAATATTCACAGTCACCAATTAATTTGCTTTCAAATTCGGTAGCCTTAAATTCATCAAAACTATATATGCATTATTTGCCTATGTAGGCAAATTGCGTTTCTTCTTCAACTTTGCCCTACCGCTGACCCACCAACCTGTATTCTCTGCCCAGAAATAAGTCACCATTACCTTTCTTTTTTGGCATTACTTACCATACCAAGTCGCTCACAACCTATTCACCAATTTAGATACTGATGGCACGGTCTAATAGGCAAAGCATCAAGTCCATAAGGCCAAAATACTCCTCTACATAGCGTACTGAATTTATTCTGTAAAGCTTAATGGTGGTACATATTTTCTATAGAAGAAAGAAGATATTACCTTATAGTGGCATTATAGAGGGTGGATTTCATTTTACGTTCTGCATTGCAGCTTACTAAAGTTTGTTTGCCACATGATTGTACTTTCATCAAAAAAAGCGGGTCACGAGGCGACACGTCCTTTCTCTTCTGTGGAGCCAGCAGATACCCCTATGACTTTTATTTATTTATCGTTTTGCTCTCAGAATATGAAGGTACTCTTGTCTCTCTGAAGTTACTGTCTTTGTAATTTAACTCAAAACATGTAACTACAACAGTGCTTTAAGGTTCTCACTTGTGTATCTTTTCCTATTTTTAGGTTTGTTCCCTGTTGGCTCCCTTGTCTTGTTGGACTGCAGTTGTTAGACTTCGTTGATTTATACTAAACTGTCGTTGCATATTGATGCTCTTAGATGATTATATTGAAGATACCTGCTGTCCAAGTCAAAATCCTGCTTAAAGGGTAATCATGTATGTACATCCATTTGCTTTCAAAAACAAAAACAAAAAATTCGATCTAGTACTTTCCGAATCCTGAAGGCAGGTCTCGAGCTTTTTTGCGGACTCTGGGTTGAGCTCGACCCAAAAACATGTATATATACCAAACAAGTCGGGGTCCGTTCTGTCTAGGTTTCAGCAAGTCTCGACAGTTGCTTTCGGGTTCAGTAAGGGACACCGATCGTTGGGCCATTTACTTTTCTTTCTCCAGTGAAAAATGCAATCTTAATACTCGTTGTAGATGCTAATCAACATACAACATTTCAGGGGTTTAGAAGATTAAGTTCTTGGACTTGAATCAATTAAGGTCGTGCCACTCATCCTAATACATTTAGAGGGGAGGCAATGCATTCTCTTTCGTGCAAAAAAAGAAGCAAAACTGGAAATGGTAGTTTTATTGTTGCAGATTGAGCAGCAAGCAACTATGAAAAACTATTGTTTGCTCAGTTCATTGTTACCTTTTAAAACCCCAAAAACTTGTACAAAACGCAAGACGAGACACGAGTACTTACAGAAGAGTGTTCCCTCCACTACAGAAATAACCACTCGATTCCAGAAGCAAAACTTTCATCTCGGCTAGTCTTGATATACAAACCATGCACCCAGAGAATCAAGCTTAATTATCTTATATCGGATAAAGACAAAAAAAAAAAAAAAAAAAAAAAAACCGCTAATTCACATAGTACCACAATTATGTTAATTTATCACCCATTGACATTCTCATTGAGCCTAGCAGCCGCAGTCAATGACGCAGCAACGCCACCAGGATGAGCAGTAAAATTCGGATTGTTTCTCCTCTCTGCACTGGAGACCCCTTCAGCATCTGCCCTTGTCACCACCTTATCTGAGGACAACTTGGCAGTCGCACCCTACAAACCAAATATTTTAGTCCATGTGATATACTGGATAATTAATGTGGAGCTATAGCAATACTTACCGTTAAGACGGCGCTAAGCTTAACCTTGTCTTCATCACGGAGCATTGCCGCATTGTAATTCGCTGCAGACTGAGCTGAAGCAGCTAGGCCACCTGGGATTATAACGGCGCTACCAGTTGCTCTCACCTCTGCTGCTCGAATAGCAGCAGCATCGCTCTGATCAACTGGCTTGTTACCTGTTGCCTGTGCTGTAGCTTCCAGTGCTTCTCCTATGGTAATTGCACTCTGCAAAATCCCAACCACAGTAGCACCCGGTGCCGAAGTCGGTTCCACAAACTGACCAACATCCGACATCAAGTGCAAGTGGATGCTTAAAAGAGGCATAAAATCGTTGTCTCGAAAGCTTATTAAACATCAAGTTATAAGCAAAACATCCCAGAGTTAGAATTCTCTAATCCCCAACAATATTAATGACTTATCCAACAGCAACATGAGAAATACCTTTTACTCAAAAATGCATTAACCAAATCATGAGAAATATCTGACTGATCATAATCTCTACATGCCGGTAAATTAAAGCATTACTGCAGCAATATATTAGAGAGAACCTGTCCAGCAACGCTTTCTGTGACTATTCGGGCTCCTGGAATGTCATTTTCAGTTACAGATACGCCGTGGTCAGCAGCAGCATCACTGGCCTGTCGATGACTAACAAAACCAGCTTGCTCATTGCGAGTTCCAGCAGATTGCATAGTAGCAGCTGGACCACCCTTCTGGGTCTGTCCAAGCACGGTGTTTTCCGCACTCTGCATCATGTTAGCATCTTCCGGTGCTATAATTCTTGTAGCAAGGTCTCCAGAAACGTTGAAAACGTCACCGTATCTTATAGGACGATCTTGCTCAAGCCCACCTTCCTGTCTCATTGGTTTGTCTTGCCCGCCAGCTTGGGGCCTCCTTGCATGATGACCCTGACTCATCTTGAAGGTAAGATTATGTTGCTTTCCTTATTTATTTTTTTCCTCTCTTATTTATTTATTTATTAAATATTGGTAATTGCGAGTATCTGCTGGATTCAAAAACCTTGGGAAGAGTTTATGTAGTAAGCTTGAAAAGAGATGGAACAAGGAAGTTATAGAAACGTGGCATTTAGATGACACGTGGTAAGGGAAAAAGTGAAATACATAATACTACACGTGGCAATTTTTTTGTTGAGGTGTCAACTCAGGAGACTTTGATATTGTGATTTAAAAGAACAGTGGCCACTTCCGCATCTTTGTTACAGGTGCCAAACATGGAGTTTTTTTCTCAAAATAGGATATTTTTTAAAAATAAAATATTTTAAATTTTATTTATAAAAATAGGGTTGTTTTGCCGTATAGACATTCATGTTATCTCTTTTGTTAAGTATTGTAATATATATTTAATATAATAATTTTAAAAAATTAAAAACATAAAAGAAAAAAATTAACTTAAGCTTTCACTGTTCCTCTTTTGTTGTCTTTATCCTAATTTCTTGAAATTTGAATATTCTTACAACTCAAAATCATAATTATTAGAAAAGTACTTTAACATATGAATATCGTCAATTAAAATACTTTTTAAATTGTTTTGTTTTTATTTATTTAATTTCTTAAATTCTCTCGGCCAAAATCCCTTCTTTTCTCTTTTTCTTTTTCTTATTTTGTTACTGCTGCTACTGTCTCTGTTGAAGTCATTTAAAATCCGTTTCTTTGGGGTTTCTTCTATTTTCTTTTGTTAGGTCATTATTTCTCCTTCCCATGGGTCCATCCAAAGTTATACCTGCATAAAGTATAAAAATAAGCACAGAGTTAAGCTACTGCAAATTTCCAATAAGAAGAAACCAAATATAAGCGTGTGTGTTCATTGGAAGTTCTAATAAATCTTAACTGGGTGTGTAAAGGCATGCATGTTTTTCAACTGGTTGTGTAAAGGCGTCCATATAACATAAAAATAAGTCTAGAATGTATTCCTCATGAAAGTGAACTTCCAAATGAAAGTGATGACAGACTGCTTAAATGTTTTTTTTCCTAAAGAGGGAGCTCGAACAAATTTTTCATTGATGCAATCAATATTCAGATAGATTTTTAACTTCAGTCCATGGAGTCATAATTTGTAAGAAGATGTTCACGGATAACAAATATAGGGTTGCACAAGAAAGTCACAACATGGAACAGTTTGATATCCACATAATTTTCTAATTTTAAGTTGATCACTGTATGTTGATCTCCAAAATGTTTATAGTTCTAAGCTGTGAAAGAGAGACCACAATGAGGTTAATAGGCAGCCTATTTTTATCCGTGGTGGTAACTGGATAGTGTCGGATGGGTTGCTAAGGCTTTCCAAAAAAGGCTACAAAACAGACATTAAGTTTCATGCAGATATGAACTTTAACATGATCCGTTGTTGGGGTTGTGGGTTAGCTGAGAGGCTAGAGTTCTATCACTACTGTGACATTTATGGTTTGCTGGTAATTCTTTATCTCTCATTTAATGAAATCAAGTTTCGAAAATCTCTCTGCAAGAGTGAATTTTGGCTTGCAATTTATTAAATTATGTTGGGCTTTAAATCATTAATTTTTGTAGCTTGCGTAGGGGTATACGGTATGGTTAAAAAACTGGTTTAGAACTTTGCTAAATCCAATTATGCGACTTCAAGATTCCAATGCTGTAAACTATGATTCATATGCCGGATTGATTTTCATAGGCGTGGCAAGAATTTTGGATAACTGGAGATGTTGATGGAAGAGGAGTCCCTGTATCAAATCCAAATGGTCCACTTGATCATGACCTTTTTACGCTGTGTGCAAGAGACACTGTGAAGCTTCTAAGAAATCATCCTAGTCTCGCTCTTTGGGTGGGTGGAAATGAACAAGTTCCAGCACCTGATATCAACAATGCTTTAAAGGATGAACTGAAACTCCATCCTCATTTTGAGAGCCTCCATAACACTGGCGAGTCTGTGCAAGATGTGTCTGCAGACTCGAAAGATCCTAGTCAATATCTTGATGGTACACACATTTACATCCAAGGATCTATGTGGGATGGCTTCGCAGATGGAAAGGGGGACTTCACTGATGGCCCTTACGAAATACAATACCCTGAAAGTTTCTTTAAGGATGATTTTTACCAGCATGGATTCAATCCCGAGGTTGGTTCTGTAGGAGTGCCTGTTGCTGCTACCATCAAAGCAACAATGCCTCCAGAAGGGTGGAAAATTCCATCGTTTAAGAAGCTTCCAAATGGGTTCATAGAAGAAGTGCCAAACCCCATATGGGAATACCACAAATACATTCCTTATTCAAAACCAGGCAAGGTTCACAATCAGATTCTACTTTATGGGGCTCCAGCAGATCTTAATGATTTTGCTTGAAGGTATATAAATCTTGATTTATTCACTAACAATTGCTTTAATCTTTTTTAAGCCTCTACCCGCCTGTTTAAGCAAAGGATTTAAACTACCATAAATGGAAGTGGTTCCAAAGGATTTAAATTATTTTATTGAGACAAATTTGGTATGATCTCGCTGAATGGTGCAAGAATATGGCCGACCCCAACTAGTTTTTGATTAAGCTTTTGTTGCTGTTCTACTGACCTGTTTAAAAAATCATCTCAGGCTCAGCTTGTAAACTACATTCAGTATAGAGCTCTATTGGAAGGTTGGGAGTCCCGTATGTGGAGCAAATACACTGGTGTTTTGATTTGGAAGACTCAAAATCCTTGGACAGGTCTTAGAGGCCCTCATTCAAGTTGACTGTAATCTTCCAATAGACTGTTTACTTGAATTACTACCATTGAAAATTCCCCATTAACATGCTGACCTGAATCCTTGTACCATAACAATCCCTCAGCTCTACCAGCAGCATCCCCACCATTACTTGAATTTTCACCCTCAACGGAAGGCTTCCAACAGGGTGAAACAATTCGCATCAATGTAGTTGATACCATTACTCACATATTCTCTTCCATATAACCTAGAAATCAAACTATTCATTGAATCAGTATCAATAAGTATATCAGAGACTAATCTTGGCTCTTGTTTCCCCTCAATCTCCAAACCCGCAACAGATGTATCAGAAATCAAACCCGCATTAAATGCATACACCATTAATCTGCAGACGGTACAATATTATGAAACCAATGAGCATGTCCAAGAAATTGCATGAAAGGAGAAACAAGAAAATTCAAGCAAAACCCACTAATCTATGCTCATTTCCAATCCAAAAAAAAAAGAAAAAAGAAAAATTCAATTAAAAAATCAGCGAGGACTGGAGTAGAATTCCAACAGCTGAAATCGAGGCCATTAAAGTTGAAGTTTCTAGTAGGAGGAGAAACAAAGATTGTTATGAGACACGAGAAGATGGAGAGAGAAGGAAAGCAAAAAAAGAAGGAAAAAAATGGGTTAATACATAAGCAGAGAAGGAAAAGGCAGGAAGGACAGTAAAAGGAGGGTTTTATTTGTGATTGAAAAACGTTTTTTTTAAATGATTTTTTAAAAAAATAAAAATGATATGTCAATTTCTACAAATGACATGGATTCTATGTGGCGTATAATACCTTATTTTGATAATTAAGTTTAAAACTACTCTATTTTAATAAATAAGATTTAGAAATATACTCTTCTGAAAAAAAACTCCCAAACAGGGATCAGTTTGTTTGCTTGGGATATGGCTGCAAGCTATTGGCACCGTTTAAACACGATCACAAAGTCATTAGTTCCTACCATATACTGTAAACAAGATTTATATCTAAAAATTTTCCTTAATTATTATAGTTACTAGTTTCCAACTGAATGCTAGCTAGTTTCTTGAGCTATCAAAGCCACCTCTCTGATAGGATTACCTTCTCATCCACGTAGGAAACAGCATGATTGATCATGCTGGATTTCCATGCCAACCGCCAAGTGAAAACTGAAAGAGTTGATTAGCAATTTCACTAATTTAATTTTCCCGGTCAGTCATTCCGTCGGTTTGCCACCTCTAGTAGAGGAAACCATACTGAAAGAACCTTACTTTACAAAAGGTCTTAAGAATGCTTGTTTAATGTCCCAGCTTCGCATGTTCTTAGGACGACATCTTCTTTTGAATTAGGTTCTCTTCTCGATGCTAATTACTGACTGAGTTGGAAAAGTTTATTGATATGGTTTGCTACTTTGATTCTGAGCTATCTAACTAAATGAGCCCGGCTTCAATAGCTATTATAATGCGAAAAACCTTTTCTACATTAACCACGAGTTAGGTATACCTCTATGAATGCGAATGCGTTGAGGTGAATTTGATAATTGCGCTGCTAGGAGATCATAATAAATAAATAAAGCTCTTTCCGGGCAAGAAATAACCTGTTCGGCGGATATGTGTGAGAGTCGATGGGAGATTCCCTCCCGAACTCGATCAAAAAAAGGACGGACGAGTATGTTTTGTAAATCTCTCACTGGAACATCCTCAGGAGAAGGTGTAAGTGACGAACATGATGTGGCTCAAAGGTTTCTATACGAAGCCCTTATCTTTCTAGGCAATGCACTCCTTGAATGGTACTTGAATAGCAGACTTAGCTACCAAAAAAGCTTACAACACTGATCAACATTTTTTTTTTTCAAGTATACTTTCTTTTTTCAAAGAAATAGGTTTTTCTAGCACTGTCATTCAAAAAAATATATTTATTTATTTTTATAGTTAAATGTAAAAGGCATTTATTGTTCAAAAAGAATATCTTTCTTTAATATACTAAAAAATTTAGATAGAGCCGGCTATAAATATTGGCCAAGTCAACGTCCTACAATAATAGTAGTTATGACCCCGATAGACTATCCCCATAGAAGTGGTGAGGGGAGGGTCCCAATTGACAGAAAAAGCCCCCAACCCCTTGGGTTCTCCTGCGCTTGGAAGTCCATTGAATAGAGAGAACACTTCTGGGGTTACACAGGCCGTGGAGCTGATTTGTCCCGAGCAGGCCAGATGGGCGAAATTTACGTTTTTTCAAAAGCTCATTCTTTGTCTCCAAGACTAGGCCTCGGGACAAAGATACGGAAGAGTTGATGATAAATTGGCTTTCGATGAGCTGATTTAGTTTGTGCGTATATATACTGCAGTTGCACAAGGCAGCGGTGGATGCTCTTTCATTAGGTGGTAGTATAGCGATGGGGAGGAGCGGAGGTGAAATGAAAAGGGAAAAGTCGTTGAAAACGAATGGCAGAGTAGAGAAACTGGAGATAATTGTGGAAGTAATGGGCATTTGCTAGTAAATATCATAGAGAGAGCAGTACAGCACGGTGGACTAATTGTGCAGAAAACGACAGTGCTGCCAAAGCTCATGAAATGAAAATCACACCTAAACCATCTGTGCCTGAATTTTCTAATTAACAAGCTTCAACTCCAAGAACTCGATTCAGGGGAATGTCGTTAGAATCCTCCCCAGTTATTCCAAAGAAAGCCTTTCGGTACTGGTTTTTAGAAGGGCTCCTGAAAGGTTGTCACCAATACAGATGTCAGTGATCACCCATCTCATGGTAATGCCTAAGTCCCAGCTATTCACTGCCACTAGTGCATCAGATTATGAACGATGCTCAATATAACAAGTCTAATAAACTTGGAAGCCTGACTGATTCTAATCCACCATTAGTATGTCCACCTAACATTTCAAAACTTACCTATTTCTAGTGCAATGGTAAGTGACCAAACAGACAGTGTAACAGTCCTTCTAGAAGGAGAACCAGAGTAAAACAATAAAAAGATCGATATAATGAGCTGAAAATGCCATAATAAAATACTATCAATTAATCATCGGATTTCAGCAGCTTAACATGAAGTTCGTTGATGACAAATTTTAGTTTTTGGTTTTGTAAGATAAAAGGAATGTGCATAATCGTGATGAATAAGGTTCCAACTTCCAACAGCAAGAATAAAACGCCACATCACGCAAAAGATAATATCAAACATATTGCTCAAATCAGAATAGAAAAAATCTTCCATGCGATTCCACAACTTCGAAAGAGAAAAACATCGGTAATTCTTCATGGTCAAGTTAATAATGGCATTGCAATGCTTTGGGGCCATCCTTCCCCTTTGGAAAAATATCAGCTTATAAAGATACAAAATATCCATTCCAATATCAACTATACTCCATTTTTCTGATCCAAACAGTAATGCACAATGCTGCATATTAACCATATTCAAATGCAAACCGAATCCTATTTTAAAGGAAGGAAAACTTGCAAAGACCCAGAACTCCAGGAATACATATGATGACAAGAATTACTAGTAACTGCATAAAAATATGGGGCTTTTATTGCATTTTGTTTATATATATATATATATAATTTCCCTTACAGTCCGACAAAGTGCAAACAGTCGACCATACTCACAAGTAGAGAGCAACCCTATTCATCGCGACTTGCAACCTCCAATCCGTTGCCTGCACATTACCAGAACAAAGATAAGTCGCAAGTCTTTTACGTCATTGATCTTCAAACTAAACATCAAACCCAGTAAAAGGGTTGACAAAAGCTCACCATCTGGATCAAAGAAGAAGACCTGCCTAATTGGCCGATTAGGTACAGACCTCTGAAACGTTTCTATTCCTTTGTCCTGCAATTACCACAAATAGATATGTAAAAGAGAATACTTAAAATGATTTAATCGTTAAATGGGACTAAATGCCACTCAGTGATAGTGGTATTTGCTACTAAAACGCAGTAAAATGCCTCAAACTCAACACTCTTAAATAATCACTCAAAATAAACACAATCATATTAAGCAAAGAATATAAAAAATAAACAAAGAAGATGAAGATGCTGCTTTGTGATACCTTGAGAGATTGGACGAAGGAGTCAAAATTGGAGACAGAGAAGCAGACGTGATGTCCTCTTGGGAGATGGGTAGGATCCAGAACCGGTGACGCGGCACTGTAGGGTCCTTCAGGAAGCTTGGTATCTGGGCTCCTCTCGATTAAGTGGATAGCGAAATCTGGAGAGATCTTAAGCCATATGACATTGAACTCGAACTTTGGGCTCTCTACCTCCTCAAAGCCAAATATGTCTTTGTAGAAATTAGCAAGCTTTCTTATATCTGATGATTCTCGAGATATGTGGTTCAGGCACGCTCCTTTTGCTACTGCCATTTTTTCTTCAATTGATGTCAGGTCCGGTGGATGCTTTTGAGCTTCTTCTATTCTCTAATCTATATTATTCTACTCTGTTATTCCTTCGTGATATCATATTTATTCATATGTAGAAGAGGCCAGAATGGTACAAGTGGGAGATAAGAAAACGACCTCGTTTAATGCTTGCGTGGCTTAATGGGCTACACCTAATATTTTTGTGACAAAAAGGAGGAAATAAAAAATCCCACAATATTTTGAAACTGCTTTGGAATCTCACTCTTTTTTTTAATTGAAAAATGTAATTTATTAATACTAAAAATGGTAAATAATCATTACATTTTTTACAAGAATCAAATAGAAATTACATGCATTCTAATTGATTTTAATCACACGATCAAGTTAAAGCACATTTAAGTAACTAAAAAAAAAAAAAAAAAAAACATCATATGTTAAAACATTAGCAAACATCAATCACCTGTTATAATATAGGTAAGATTAATTTTTAAAAAAAAACAAAATTGAGTTGAAAAAAAGCATCTGGGGTTCTTATGAAGAACTGATTTATAAACAAAATAAGTAACATAAATGAATACAATTTATTTAACTGAGAAAATTGATAAGGGAAAAGAAATTTATTGATTGTTTTTAAATTAGTTTTCTAAGTTTTTTTTTATTATTATTAGACTATTTATAGTGTCATTTTTTTTCATGTGTTTCAGACATCTTTTACTACCACTATCAAATGAGAAAAAACTGCACTATCATGTCTCACCTGTCAAAATATGGTCACGGGTACAAAAATCATCACCAAAAATCTCTGCATGTGCACTGACTATCCCGAAAACGATGAAATCTAGTGTTATCTCTAACAATAATTTCTCTCTCAACAATGCCTGAGATAAACTTGAAGGCACTATGACAATCTACACATATCCTGAGATTTTTTGTGATTCTTATAGGTACTCCAGGAGGGAGAGCTACAAGGCCAAAGGCAAGGGCAATCTTCTCGCTGTGGTACCCAACTTCTGTCATTTTCTCTTCCTCTTCTAAATCATAGAGAGCATAGTTGGTGTCAGGCATGTAACCAGCGGCCTGCATATCTGTCCTTAGCTTAACTAGCATTGCCTGAATCTCACTGTTCCTTTCATGGGATGCATCCTTTGCTTGGAAGACATGGACTTTATTCTTTGCAGTAACCCAACTACAACCTGTACCTTTTTTGATCCCAACATCCCTCATTTCTTTTCTCACAAGGGTAGCTTCCTCCCACCTGCATTAAGGTCCCAAATAGTTTAATGGCAAGCAAAAGGAAAATACGGACAAAGAAGAAAGCTGAAATCGAAAAACCAATTGCTTAAAAATGCAAACGAAAGAACAGCATAGTGAACGAAGAATCTCTAGCATATTACGCCGAAGCAGCCACTCAAATTATTTGTTAATTAGATGTGCAACAAACAAGCAGGATAGGGAGTCTCTCAATCAAGTCCAAAATAATGGTTCCACAAAACATCGTCAAGGCTAATGGTAAAGGGGGTACCTGGTTTTGCTAAGACATATCCACAAACTTGACCGGGAAGTTTCAACTTTTTCAGATAATATATGTGGAGAAACTATGACAATCACAACAGGTGACAGCATCATTCTAGTAAATTATAAATTAGTCCCTTTAGTTTTGCAAAATGAATAAAATAGTCCCTTTTGTTTCAAAAACTAAATAATCATTTTCTTGACTAGTATTGACCATTTTTAATTTAATATTACTTTGCTCTAAAAAATGTTTTCTTTCTCATCAATCTTTCCAAATTTTTTACTTATTCTTTTCTTTTTCTATTTCTTAAAATGAAAAAAAAAATGAAAAAGAATGAAAAAGATTAAGCTATAAATGGATTTAAAAACAAAGAACTAATTAAAAGTTTTTGAAACTGGAGGGACTAATTTATAATTTACTCACATCATTTCTAAGTCCCAATTCTGAAGATTCAGACAAATAAAACTTCTGTGTTTGAAGCTAGAGAGATTCATGAACTGTGGTGCTATGTTCCTAAACGGAGCCGGTGTCTAATATTGGAAATTCATATTGAAGATTTTAAATTCAACTCTTGAGATAAGTGAGTGGTTATTCAACGGATGGGGAAGGCTGCTCCTACTTTCTAGCACGAGGGCCAAAGACAAAGAGAATCCCATTCCCGATGAACGAAAAATTTACTAGGTGTAGCAATTGAAAGAGAGGGATTCGGATCAGAATTTTCACTCTTCAATAGTGACCCTAAAACATACCATTTTTCATGCCCTAGCTCATCTTCTCCCATTTCGTGCCTAGTTTGAAATCAACCAATGATTGCATCACATGAAGATGGGATTAAAACAGTATACTGTGACTACAGAAGTACGTCAAGTCGTTAACATCAACAACAGCAAATACAGGAACTTCAAGGAAGCAGATACAAAAACCTTCTAATTAAAGCATAGTCTGAATTTGTAGCATTTTTGAAAAACAATAAGATTGGGTTTAGAAATTAACTTACCTTCCAGCAGCAGCAAACATATTTGAAAGCAGCACATGGTTGCCTGCATCTTTTGGATCAAGCTTGAATAAGTTATCAGCTGCAATTTTACCTAACTCCGGCTTCCCGTACACTCTACAAGCATTTAAAAGAGCCCCCCAAACTGAAATTGTTGGACGAATTGGCATTTTTTGTACAAACTCATAAGCACGCTCTACCATTCCAGCCCGCCCTAACATGTCCACAATACAAGCATAATGCTCTGCTCCTGGTTCAATCCTGTACCTGTCCCTCATTGACTCAAAAATCTCGATTCCCAATTTAACTGCCCCTCCCTTACTACAAGCCGACAACACAGAGATCAATGTTATATAATTTGGTACCGCCTCGGACTGCATTTCTTCAAACAAGGTGATGGCCATGTCAACGTCCCCTTGGCGTGCATACCCACTAATCATAGCATTCCAAGAAACCAAATTCCTGTCAGACATCTCATGAAAGGCCTGCTCACAATCTTCAATACTTCCGCATTTCCCATACATGTCAACAAGGGCACTCCCAACGAAAATATCACCCGCCACGCATGCTTTCACTGCTAGTGCATGAACTGACCTCCCCAATTCAAGTCCCGAAAGACCTGCACAAGCACTGATAACACTCGAAACCATATAATCTGTCAGCTCAATGCCTTCTTTCCTACCCATAAAAAACACCACACAAGCCTTCTCCTTCTCATCATTCTGCTCACAAGCAGCCACCATCGAACACCATGAAACTGAATTCCTCCTCCCCATCCCAGTGAAAACCATTTCAGCCAATCCAACTTCCTTACACTTCCCATAAAAATCAATAATCCCATTTGCAACCGACACATCCCCTTCAAACCCACTGCGAATCACAAATCCATGTAACTGCCTCCCAAGGTCCAAATACCCTGCGTCAGAACAGGCATTCAAGAAGGCACAAAATGTTATAGAATTAGGTTCTCCACCCACCTGGCGGAACTCTATAAACGTATCGATCGCTTTCCTAGGCCTCCCATCAAGCACCGCATTACAAATATATGCATTCCAGACAGAAATATTTCTTGCAGGCATTTCATCAAACAGTTGCTGCGCTTCACGTTTAAGCCTGATTTTGGAGTACATATCAAACGCGCTGCAGCCAACAAATTCATCATTAATTTGGCCCAACTTCACCGCAATCGCATGAATCTGTTTCCCTGTAAAAGGCAAGCAAAGCGTGGCAGATGCTTTGAAAGCGCAAGGCAAAGTGAAATCATTAGGCTGGATGTTTTCACGGCGCATTTTCGAGAAATAAAGGAGAGCAGATAAGAAATAACCGTTTTGGACAGAACCAGAAATGAGGGCGGTCCAGGAGACGACGCAGCGAGTTGGGTTGAGTTGAAGGAGAAGTTGGGCTGAGTTGGGGAGGTCGAGTTTGGAATACATGCTGATGAGGTGGATGGAGAGGAAGGCAGGGATAGGACATTGGAGAGTCTTGAGGATTTGAGCATGGGTGGCTCGGCCGAGAACAGAAGAACGAGTTGAGACGGCGGTTTCGAGAAGGGATGCGAGTGAATTTGGGGTGAGGAGGGTCATGGGTTGTTGCGGTCATGGCTTGGCATGGTGGCGCCAAAGGTCTAGCTTGAAGTTAATTAGCAGTAACTAGTGGGTTTAAAGGCATTTTTTGTCCTGTTCTGTTGCAATTTGAGATGTTTAGTATTAAATTATTGATTTTTGAGAAAAATTATCTATTTTTTAAAATTACCATTATATGTATATCAACCCAGGAGTAAAATTGATATAATTTCCTTAATTATCATTCTATATAATTTACAGTTACTTGAGATGCTAAAACAACCTTATTTTAACATTCTACTATTAATTATTTAAATAAATATATTTTAAAAATATTTTTAATCTTCTAATCTTAAAATTTTTTCTTATAAAGTATTATATTATAAATTATATAAAAAAATATTTTATAAATATTTTTAACCCCACTTAATTTTGAATTTTTTAAAAAAAATATATAAAAAAAGCATTTTATAAATATTTTTAACCCCTTAATTTTAAATTTTTTATAAAAAATTATAAACATTTTATAAAAAATTATATAATATATAATTTATAAAATTAGGAGGTCAATCCTTAATTATGTTCATTTTAATTTATAAAATATTTTTTTAAAGGCCTGGAATTAGGTATTGTTAATTATTTTTTTACAATATTTTTTTATAAAATATTTATAAGATTTTATAAAAAAAATTAAAAACAATTCAAAATTAGGATGTTAAAAATATTTATAAAATTTTTTAATATAATTTATAAAATATTTTATAAGAAAAAAAGTTTTTAAAAACATTTCAACATTTGAGGGTTAAAAAAATATAATTAACAACGGAATGTTAAAATAATATCGTTTTGGTATTTCAAATAGTGATAAATTATATAATGATAATAAAAAAATTTGATCAATTTTGCCTTAAAATCAATATTTAAATGTTCAATTACATAATTTGAAGCTAAAAATTTAAAATTATAAAATTAGAATAGAATACAAGTAAAACTTGTCATTAAATCATAACTATTTAGTTGGCTACGCTACGAAAAAGGCATTATTATTTGTTTTAAAGTGTTTTGTGCGATATACTGCAGGCGATGCATCATTTTACGAAAGAATTTAACTGTATTGATTTGGTTAATGTCGATATGCTTTTATAGCATGTTCTAGGATATAATAAATTGAAAGGAAGATTTTGTTTGGCGATGGCTACTTGCGGGTTATTTTTCTAATGCAGGCCATTTTGGATACATTTGAAAACATGAAAGGTTTATTATTTTTCACCAAAAAAAAAATTCTGTAGCTAAGTTGAAGAACAAGTTGCGACGGACACAGAAAATTTGTAGTTGATTGAGGACATTGATCGATAGCTGTGGAACTGAAAGTCTATTAGTATAGCCATAATCTAGGACCAAATTCTCGCGTGGGAAGCCAAAGCACGCTTCTTCAACATCCTCTGTGATTAGCAACATACCTTCAGTCGTGCTATCTTGGACAATGCAGCTTACAGGTACTTGGGGAAAAAAAAATTGCCAAATATATAATTACCAATGAGTCCTAGTAGGACGATGCATAATTATGCGAGTTAGTTGACAAAAAAAGGGAACATTTGTTCGTGTAAGTGATAGATTGAGTGACTCTAAAACCTGTCGATACTCGGTGGGATCATAGGGAAGAGAGCTATCAACAAGGTAAAGAGTATCAGTTGCTGACATAGGTGTGGAAACCTTAACATGAAATATGTTGGTATTGAGAAGAAGATCAGAAAGATACTTCATTTGTAAGAGGAATGAATAGAGAAGTATTAAGAAAGAATTAGAGTTAATTATACTAAGTACGTGGAGCTTATCGAAGACTATAAATAACTTTGACAAGATTATAGATATGATCAGAAAACTAAGAATTAACAAAACCATGTGGTTGCTACATGTAAACATTGTTAAAATAATTTTGTAAAACTTATAGATATAACCAGAAAACTAAGAATTGACAAAACCCTGTGGTTGCCATACGTAAACATTGTTAAAATAACTTCGTAAAACTTACATATATAATTAGAAAACTAAGAATTGACAAAACCTTGTGGTTGCTACATGTAAGCATTATTAGTGAGAGTATCTTATAAAAAAACATTATTAACATCTAATTATTTCAAAACTTAACCATGAAAACCCGCAATACTAAGAACTAAACCAGCAGTAGTAGGTTTGACAATCCAGCTAATGATTTAGTGAAATCAATCCCCTTGCATTAATGAAATCCTTTAGCTACAAAATGTGCTTTGTAGCAAGCAATGGATCAATCAACTCTCTTCTTAATTCAATAAATTCACTTACAACCGATAAGACTATATAATGGCCTATATGACGTTGTTTATGCTTTAGAAAAAATATTGCAGTCCCACCACGACATAAGAGCTTAAACCCTCCTGCAACATATTATGTGCATGGACAAAGAATGATTGAAATGGAGATGAAACAAGATTCCATGATGAGGATGGTCTGTCACATATGGAAGCAAGATATCCAGTAATACTCTTCAGGCAACAACTAACTGCTCGTGTTGAGAAGATGGACTATTTTTTCTTCTATCAGCTTAATTAGAAGCAACAACTAACTTGTGCACAAGGGCTTGATGCAAAAAAATTTCAAATGCTTGGTGCTGCGTATCATGCTTTGGGTATTGTTGCGCCTAAAGAAGCACGTTCTGGCTGAAGATAAGGGTAGGAATTTAATAAAAAAATTAGCCAAGACAACTTCTTTACGTGGAAGAGTTGATATGGAAAGTTGGGACGAGATTGCTCCGTTATACTAAAAAGTTGTTTCTGCTTTAATTGAAGGAGATGAAAGCAAAGAACTTCACATACAAAGTGAAGCGACGGAAAAAAAAGGCTGGAGAGTTTTGATTGGGCATCCACGAAAAAGAGAAAAGAACAATTGATTATTACTTTAAAATTATAAAAATATTTATTAATAGTTGATATTATTAAATAATTTATTATATATTATTAATTCACTTATTCAAGTAAAAGAAGGTAACGTGAACAACGTAAGAATGCGTGAAATGATTACTATTTTTTAAAAAAACAAGAAAATAGATTTACACCTCTTAAAAAATTCAACTTGTGTGATTTGGATGATTTACAAAATAAATATGTGAGTTTTAGGTTGTTCATGATTCGTATATCTAATTAATGAAGCTCGAATCTTTATATCTCAAACTCATTTTTCATACGTAGTTCCTAATATTATTTTATGCATTATTTGAGAAAATTTAGAGAAAGATAATAGATTTTATCAATCTTCCAAATTGCAATTGAATTTTTTAAGGCTTCATTAGAAAATTTGAAAGAATTCGTGTAATATGTCATTGAGTTTTTTATAACTTCCAAATTGATAGCTTTTATTCGTGTTTTCATGCATAAATCAGTAACATCTAAAGGAAGGATCAAGAAAAGTGAGTGATTGTTTAATTAATGGAGTACATAAATCCAATGCTCAAAAAAAAAAAAAAAAGTCTCCAAAATGAAATCTAAGTTAAAGATTAAGGAATGTTTATGCGATTGAGCCCAACCAATACACTACTGATATCAAAATGGAATGAGCATGGTAGATGGTACTAATTAAGAACGATGCTCGTCTATTATGGCGCGTAAGCAAAATAACCTCTCTCGCGCGCCGAGTCTCTCTCCTTTGATCCTCGACTTTAGCGCACAAGCCCTCGACAGAAAAAAGGGGGTGGGGGGATAACTCCTCGCTCTGTCCATCTCTTTCCCTGTCTCCAAAATAAAAGGGAGAGGGAGAGGATTTGTTGAGGAGACTGAGAGCAGATCAACCAAAGGCCAAGTCAGGCAATAAAATGGAATCCATTGTTAAAAAAGACCATACTAGGGTATCCACTACCTTTCCAAAGCCAGAGGTTGCTGTCTCTCATTTCCAGGAGGGCATTGTGTTGCTTCTTTCTCGATGGAATGCTCTACAAATGGCTATTCAAAATGAGTGGGGTGGCCACGATTCCCTTCAGAAATTCCACCAGCTTGTTCTTGATATCCTCTCTTGGTTCTCTCAATCTAAAGGTCAATTTTTTTTATCCTTTTATTTTCAAATCTTAATTGGGTTTAGCTTGAATTTTAATAAGAAGCATTTGCAGGAACACTTTATATTGAGGATTTAGAGAATTTGCTCCACGAAAGTCTGCTGCTTTCTTTCAACACAGAGATTGAGGATGGCAGCATTGAAGAGGTATAAATTACTTCTCTTTTTTTCCCTTGTTTTTCTAGTGGAAATTCCTCTATAAACTTGTTATTTTATTTCTTCAGTTTGAATACATTGGACTTGTTTAAAAAAAAAAAAAAAAACCATCATAGTTTTTATGCAGTTTTGTCAATAATCTTTTGGGATGCAAGTTTAATGTACAATTTCAATTACTTTTTAATAGGTCATTCTATTTGTGAGTGTAATATAAAATTCATTTATGAAGTCTTATTTGATAGTTTAAATTTTTAGATTGAGATTGATTATTTAAGTATCTTCAATATTCCATTTCATTGTTTTGTAGGCACAACACATTTAACATGGGTGCTGATTCGAGTATTGAAAATGAATTCACATACAATGACTTTTCTTATAGCTTGAGTGACATACACGTACGGATAAAAGGCTTTCTCACCTTTCACCCACAAATTGTTGTTTTTTGCTTAGATGATTTCATATTTCCCAACTTATGCGTATAAGAGAGATGACAATGGAATGATCAGCCACAATTTGAGTAGTTACTCTATTCTGGCAACTCTATTGATGAAGTTGTAGGTACAAGTTATAACTTCTCGTTCATATCTTCTAATCGTGTAATTGAAAACCCAAGCAGGTAGCAGAGCAGCTGATGATAATGCATGAAGCTACTTGAACAGGAATCATTACACAAAAAGATGTACAGGAACCCAACTATTGAGTAATTAGAGGCTAAGCTTCTTGGAAATTATATCCAAACAGGTAACTATAGTTACATTCACTAACCTAAAAGTCCTTGACGTCTCAACATGCTATGATCTCTGAGGTTATAAAAGCTTGTGGTGTTTCTTTGTTGGAAAGCTTATCACTCATTACCAAGTTCTTTTTGTTTTCTGCGATAATCATGATGATAATACTCTTTCTAGGTCTAGCCCACGGTGCAGATAGGACGCATTGAGTATTAGAGATATATAAAATGTGGCTAGCTATTAGATACAGCACTGGGTGAAACTTAAAATATTTATCCATGTTTTTATAATTAGGAATTTAACAATTTGTATTCTTGTTTGATTTAGAACTAGAAAATTTAAAGTTATATCGTCTAAATATTTAAGTGAATATCTCGATTGAAAATTGAATGACGCTTATTTAAGAACTAATGATTCGATCTTCCAGTTGCAGGATGCATTTCTGCGAGTGGCCAGCTGGAATGTTCAATCCATCTTGTTTGAATTTTTTGTTTTTACTTTTTTATGTCGCCATTTGGGTTGTTCCGTACTTCTGCTGTATAATTCACAGTAGTGTTGCCCACCCACAAGTGCATGTGCACGTCTCCGAATTTGGTTTCACATATATGTATATTGCGTGTATTAGTAACTTCTTTTGATGGCTCAAATGAGTAAGAAATTCATGCAAGAACCAGAAGCACTAATGACTGGTACAGAATCCTTATTTTATGGGAGAGGGAAAGCAATATTTAAGGAGAACGCAAGACTCTTGAGTAGTTGTTGGGTATGTTAGCCTTTATCTCCTTCCTAATTAACGGATCGTAGACGCTTCAATGATAAATCCAAATACGTAATCTTCAAGTTTGTCTCTGCATGCGTAACTCACTTATTTGCTCCAGCATTTACTGTTAATCTTCATGTTCTTCTATATATATATATACACACGAGACAGAACTAGTTGTTTCCAAATTTCTCATCTTCCTTGAGACCTCGACATGCCATTTCATGTTGAGCATTGGTCCATTTTGATTGTGTTCATCGATCTTCCTTCAAATACCGAGGCCAGAATCTTTGCACAAAGCTGCCAAAGATGATCTCCTACATGCTTTGTACATAGCCAGCAGAATAACTAGCTACTGTAAGACAAGAAAGTCATATCACAGACTGTACTTTTCAACTCAAATCAGAAGCAATTGGATTGAAGGATGCATTTATCTAGGCTTACAGATAAAATTCGTTGGATTGAAGGATGCATTGGACACATGCAAAAGAATAGTTACTGTTTTGCAGAAAAGCTTGAGCTTATAGTGCTCCATCTTCATACTTTATCAGTGGACAATGCGCTGGTGCAGAATTGAAAACAGTTTGGTACTATATGGGGTACATAAACTGTGGCTACATCAGCTCTAGTTTCAATGAAACTTTAGAAAATACATATATAATAATGACGCACCATATTAGAACTGTCAATTTTTTTTATACTAGAAGAACAGCATAAAAAATGTAAGCAGCCCTTGTTATTGAAAAAGAAAATTAAACACATTTGGAAATGACATGCTGCTTTTTCCTTTTTCTTCAAAGAAAAACATTAATTAATTTTTTCAATTTTGATAACTAGCTTTGTTTTAGTTAGTAAACTAGTTCTAGTTGTGCTAGTTCGGGCATAAAAGGCTTGGTTGCTGATAAGTGGGCAACTAGTCCGGTTGGAGTAACATGAACAGTGGACTTTGTCCTCGTTACATTTGGTCACTCGTCGTCTGTCGAGTGAAAGACACTCTCTGTTGTCGTTTGGCAATAGCAAACACCACGCGCTAATCAGCACGTGAAGTTTTCCCAGTAATTGGACCTTGATATTTCATTTATTTACAAAAGGGTACTCATAGTAGCACAAAAGTTATCGGTTTCTAGAAGGACAGGAGTATCATTTCACATTTCCCATCTGCCACTTGCAAAGCATGACCCAGGCATCTTGCCTTTTTCTCTACCATCTTAGCTCAATGGGATCCTAATTCGGACAGTTCTGTTCGACTGCTTGAAAGAGTAAGTGTTGTTTCAATTCAAGTTTTTTTTTTTCCCTTGATGATTTTGGTTTGATTTCAATTCTCTTTGGTTCCTTTTGATTTGCTTGCAGGTGAAAGAAAGAAAGGGCTTTGGGGTTTATAAATAAATCATGTCAGATCCGCTTCCCTCTCCTTCCAATAAACCTCACGATCATGGTCCTCAGACTGCATTTGGTTTGATTTTCGGTCCAGAGTATGTTCTTTTCTTGAATTTTGGTTTTCAATTCCACTTTCTTTTTGTTTATTAGAACCCAGAAGATCCTGTTTCTTATTCTTTACATGTCGTCTGCATAAAAGATGGGGGAGCTAAAATTAAGTTCCTGATTACTCAAATCAGCACAATCAACTTACTACACGGAAAGCAAAATTGTCCTCCAGTGAAGGGTTCTTTTCTGTTTACGTATTTAGTGAAATTGTGACTCTTAAACCATTGGTATATAAATGTTGCATGTCTTCCAAATGACCCTTGAAATTAGTAAAATAAGGAGCCTTAAATTTGTTCAGTAAAACTGTGAATAAATTTTGGCCAATACAAGTTTTTTGGCCATGGATTCTCTAATGCAATTGTAGATGATATGCAAGGGTATGAAGCTCAAGGATATGCTTTAAAACTGTGTATCCAAGACATTGACGTGTTCTATCTGTTTAATCTACAGATGAATTAGTCATTTCATTGCATTAGGTGATTCTTATGTAATGTTTGGATTTATGTCATTATGATGACAGTTATGGCACACCAGTCGCAACGAGCTGTCAGCCGAATGAGCAACAGTTCATGGAGAATGATATGCCCCATGGAAGTAATGGTAGCATGCACCTGCTAGATGAGAAAAACTTTTTCAGTCACCAGAATGAGGAATTTGTGGATAATGATGTCCATAATGAAAGTAATGGGGCTGGGCATCTGATGGATGAGCATAATTTCTTTGGTCAGCAAAACGAGCAAATTATGGAGAGTGATGCTCCTAACAAGAGTGATGGTGGCAGGACCCCTATAAATGTGAACAATTCTCTAAGGCTAGTTATGCCAGGTGAATCTGGTGAAGGTTTGCCATATGCTCCGATTGATTGGCCGAATCCTGGTGATAATTGGAAATGGAGAGTAGGAAGGAGGGTTAACTCCTCGGGGTACTACCAGGATAGATTCATTTACGTTCCAAAAAGTCTTCAGGGTAAAAAGAAGCACATGTTTGCTAGCAAGCCTGCACTTGAAAATTATATTCGATCTCAATTCCCAAGTGCAGATGTTAATGCATTTTTTGCATCGTTTGCATGGAAGATACCGGCAAAAGAGCTGTCTCCAGCAGAAGGTAAGCTTAAATTTTGACACCGATGCTATCTATTCTCTTGTATTTCTTTGTATAGAAAAGAAAACTGTAGTAAGAGGGAGAAACTGAAAATTCACAAGAAATTATCAAAAGAATAATAAGGATTTCTCCAAAATGCAAAGGAGGAAGAAGAAGACTCGAAACAGCAAAGCTTTTAGTTGTACTGAATGTCAAAGAAGGAAACTCCCATTGCAGCTTCCAAAGAAAAACTCCATATTCTCGTATATTCGTCTCTGTGTTGGAATTTAGATCATGGTTTTCAGATTTTCAAGCTTTTTCTTACATCACTGCAATTTTTTAGCTTCATTTTTCTTATTTGTTAGTGCAGTGACAAGTAGATTCCTTAAGCATATTTGTTTGCTCTTTTCTTCCATTGCAATAGATGAAGTGCTTGAATTATTTATAAAATTAGAGTAGGATTGTTGATGTCATCAGGCTAGCCAATCCCTATTACTCTGGTTAATGTTTTGTTCGGCTACAGTGGTGCTTTGACCAAGTGACTAGATTCTCATCTTTCTTACAGTGAAAGCTGCCCCTCTTCCTCTTGAGAACCCTCCTGAGGATGAAACTTTGAAAGTTCAAGAAGGGAAAGTAGAAAATCCTCGTTATGGTCGGAGGCAAAGGAAGCAGATTTTACCCAAATTAACAGGAGAAGCAGCTGAAGAAAAGAAACAAAAAACACCACGGTCCAGCCAGAGGAAAAGAAAACAGGATGTAAAACAGGATACACCTGCATCAGCGTCCACATCTAAGCGAAAAGCTACACGTTCTTCTAAACGATCTGTGTCTCATACTGCTATTGGTGAAATTGGAATAATTGAGCCTGAACCTGAAGTTAATGTGATTCCGGAGGGTTTTGATAACTATCTCAGTTCTTTAGAAGACATTCTTACCCAACCTCTCTCTGAAACCCAAATATCATACACTGCAGCCACTGATACTCCTCCTACCGAAAGTGATATGGCTAAAGCTCGAACCAAGCTTTGTTCCCTTCTAGCCATGGATTTTCCCTCTTTGGTCTCTTCCAGAAACATTTCCAAGCTTACAACTCTAGCCTCCAAACTAAGGAAGGATCCCACCCTTAGTGCTGAACAACTTGTTAAGTTAAAATTGATTGAGGAAATCCCATCATTCAGCGAGGTTTTTCTTGAGAGTAGGCAAGCCATAGAGCAAGTTAACAAGTGCTTTGGCACCCTTGAGGCAAACAAGGAGAAGGTTAACTCTTTGAGGAATGAATATAATGAATTGAAGGAAAAAGCAGACCAGCTCCAGTCACAGGTTGACTCCAGCTTACTGACCGTGCAGGAAATTGACAATCAAATTTTTCAACTTCAGACCTGGCGAGCGGAGCTTACTCATACAATTGAGAATAACAAGGCAGCAAAGGTTGAGGTGGCCTCTGCTCAAGGGATGGTGGCGAATTCAATTCCAACTGTTGTGCGTGATATTCAGGTTGCCAACTCCCAAATTCCAGAATGGGAGCTAAGAAGAACAAATGCAGAAAAGCGTGAATCAGAAATTCTGGAAAAATTTGCCCCTCTTAAAGGGTTTTCCCTGTAGGGAATGTCTTCTATCCTTTTACGTTACCATGAGAATCTATGTAATGTCTTTAAGCTTACGTCTCCAGATTGTAATGTTTATTGACTTGCACCTAGAAACTTGCATGGAATTATCTAGAATTTTAACAGCTGATGCTCTGCACGGCCTTTTGTATTAGCTTATTTCTGTACGGGATCCTTTTGTATTAGCCTATTTCCGCACGGGATTGTCATAATTCTATAACGATAACCTCTTTGTTGCAATAAGTTTCATGTTATAGAATGTTCTGATATCTGGCGTTCGGTCACGATATTATGTTCTGGCATGCTGGGTGATGGTGTGATGTTGTTGTTGACTGAAAGGACTTTAGCCGTTTTCTATATTTTTCTGCTAATCCCTTTGCTGCTGTAGATGAGGTAATTGTTTTTCGTAACGTATCTGCATTTTCTGGAGCTCCAAATGTATTTCTACGCTGTCGCATTAGTTTAAACAATTTAACTATACTGCAGCTTTGTCCAAGGAGACTGTCGTGTTACCAAGAGAACTCCGAGATTTTTAACTTGGGGGGTTTCGGAAAATTGAAGAACTGTGTTTCGAAGAACAATAAAATTACCAATATGTGCGTGCGCTCTGTGCACACGAACCATCTGGCTAATTGATTGCTTTGTTAAAAGGTATCCGACAAAACGTTATTAGAACAATTTTTGTTTCTTTATTTTTTTATAAATAGACAAAAGAAAACCCGTCCCGATAACAGAGGAAGATCTCAAATTTAGCACTGCTCTGTTAAGCTTTTCTTTTGAACTAGAAAAATAGCATTTTACATATATTTTTGCCATTTGTTGCTGCTTTGCTACGCCTGTAACTTTATCCATTGAAGCTTTGTTTATTTTGCAGGACATCATTCGCGATGAGCTTATTGTTTTTTTTTTTTTTTTTTAACACACACTTAAGCCCCTAATAGAACTAATCTGTTAAGATTTGAACCTGTGATCTCTTATTGCAATGAGCTTCTTATTCACTTAATCTTGAAACTGATAGATTTATTTTTTTATTGATCTAACCTTAAAAATTATAGATTTAATTTCGATGAATGCTAATATTGGTTCAAGATACTTTATTATCCGTAAATATTATGAAAAAATAAAGCTTTAAAACAAAAACAAAAAATTCACTGCTAGATATCACTACAAGAGCTATTTATTGATCTAACCTTAAAAATTATAAATTAGTTCTTTTAACTTAGCAAAATAATCAAAAAGTTTCTCTAACTACAAAAACTAAGTAATTAGTTTTTTGCATTCATTTTAAGTTCTTTTCTAATTCATTTGTTCTTTTTTTTTTTAAGAAATAAAAAAGGTAAAATGAAAAATAGATATTATAGAAAACTTGATTTGAAAAGAAAATATTTTTTTAAAAAAACAAGTTAATATTAAGTTAAATATAATCAATATTGATCCAATTACTAAATAATTAATTTTTAAACACTTATGGTTTGTTTTATTATTTTTTTTTTCCTTACTAATGGTTTCTAAACACTTATGGATTTTTTTTTAGAAAAAAATTGAGACGTATCTTCAAGACAAGAACTTTTATAGTTTTATTCATGGTTAAGAAGATATAAATTTTATTTGAATAGGGCAAAAAAGTCATTTGCTGTCTTTGGTGAGTCCAGGGTTTAACTTCGAGTGATCCGGCGAGATAGTGTACTTTCTCCGTCTTCTCTCTCTCGTTTCCAGTGTTAGGAGCAAATTCGAGTTTGTTTGCTCTCTCACTCTCAATTCATTTTCGTTTCCGTAATATTTTTCTCCAACTATCAAAACCGCTTCCTTATTTCTCATAGATTTCAGGTGTAGAACTGGTGATCTGTTTTACTTTTCAGGGCAAAAGCTAGACATATTTGTATAAGGTAAAGCTCTTAATCCTTTTTTTCTTTTTTACTTTTTAGTGTGATTATAGCAATATTATGATGCTTTTGAAATGTGAATAAGTCAAAGTTATCTAAAGATTTGCACCACCAGTATCAGTATCGTATGTGTTGGGACGTAGTGAAATCGTTATTTTGTTTTCCGATATTTGCCTCGGGCATTGTGTAAAATCATCAGCAGAACTTCCAAATTAATGTTAATATTTCAAATTTTGAGCAACATGTTGTAAAATTGATGGTTAAGCTCGATACTTGAAGAAAACCCACCTAGGGTTTGAATCTGTAATTGCCTCCGTTGTTTTTTTTCCCTTCCGAATCACATGTTTCACTGAATTAACTGCTTCCTTATTAATTAGCATTGATAATTGGCTCGTTTGCAATTTGGACTTGAGAGTCATCCTTCTGTACGCATTGAGCTGCCCATAGTGGATATTTAGCAAATTTATGTTAAGAGCACTCATCGAATTTTTGACCCGTAATCATTAAACTGTTGATGTAAATGGTTCTGTTTATTTAGTATTTATTCCCTTTTCCTTTGCAGAGAATTATGGCCGAAGGTGATCAAAAGGAACCAATTAACGAGCAAGTAGTTGCAAACATGTACACTGCTATGCGTTCTGAACTAAACCAAATTTACTCGAAAATAACTGAACTTGAGATGGATGTGAGTGAGCATTCATTGGTTATCAATGCTATCCAACCGCTGGACCCGTCCAGACGATGCTACCGAATGATTGGAGGTGTGCTGGTTGAGAGGACTATCAAAGAGGTCCTGCCTGCTGTCCAGCGCAATAAAGAGGGAATCGAGGAAGTAATTGTAAGGCTTAATGAAGCTGCTGAAAAGAAGAAAAAGGAAATTGCTGATTTTGAAGCTAAGTACAAGATCAGGATAAGAAAGTCTGACAATGAGGTAAAAGATGATACTAACACGAAGGAGGCTTCTTCTCAAGGTGTTCTTGTTGGTCCTGCAGGTTCAAGTGAATGAGAGCTCTTGTATTTTTTCCGTCCTCTTTATAGTTTATCAGACATGTTTGATAAAATCGCCTTCACGTTTTGTTATGGTGTACCGGCAGATGGACATGAAATTTGTTGATCATGGCTGTTGACTAGCTTATGTGAATGAATCCGATTTTGTGTTCTCTCTTGTTTGAATGGCAGAGCACCAGCTTATAATTAACTTTTAAACATACGCAAAACAAGAGGCTTTGATATTTTATTAGATTTGTAGGTAGAGGAGGAGCGCTTGTAACTATTTAGTTCCATCGCTGTTGCCGGGGCCATTTGCAATCCTTGGTTACCACCTTCTTGAGGTGATGCCAGGTACAGATGAAGATTTATAGAATTAGATGACATCCTAGTTGTAAATAGAAATCTTTGTTATCGCAAATCTTAATTTATTGTGGTAACAAAATAATAGTTATTATATCTAATATCGTGAATATATTAATATATTAGTAATTATTAATAAATTTATTTTAATTTATATATTTTAATAGTTTTATTAATTAAGCATATTAATAAATAATAGCATCTTTAATAGTTTAATATCATATAACAATAATTAAATTTATTATAAAATAGTTAATAACACTTTTAATAAATTAATATCACATAAAAAAATCATAAAAAATATATAATTTTAATATACACATTATAAAATATTTATCTCCAAATAATCAATAACTAAATTATTTTTTCAAAATAAAAAAAAAACTAATTTTTAATTTATTCAATCAAACTATCAAAGGATGTAAATAGCATTTAATTCTTATTCTCTAAATTAATCACATATTCTTATTTTCCGAATTAATCTTCCGGGTTACAATTTATAAATAAGGTCACTCCCTCTAACTAAAATTCAACATAAAATGATACTTTTTTAATATAATTTGTGTAATGCCATTATATAACAACAAATAACGACATTATATAAAGATAACGTCATTTTTTTTTTTTTTTTTTTTTTTTATTTAAAAAAAGGGTTGTTTTCATTGATGAGATAAATCAGCAGATAAAGTTGCTAACAAAAAATTTGGGGGATGTGAGCCTTAACACACAAGACTAGACAGAGAACAAGAAGCTCTAGCACTTAAATGAGCAACTTGATTCACTAATCTTTTAACAAACTTCACGAGATACATTCAATAAGTCCTTAATTAGAGACTTGCACTCCTTAACAATAAGACCAAAGTTAGAAAAAGAGATAGACTCACTAGCCAAATCCTCGTACAATCAATTAGGCATACGATTCCACAACCATATTGGAAATCGCTTTTCCTTAATCCAACTCAACACTTCTCAAGACTCGAAGCATTCCGCAATTCCAAGATCCAAAATACACCTTAAAATATTAAAGCATCTTCAATCGATCTATCAAAATTTCACACAACATAGCTAATGCCTATAGAGGTAGAAGAAGAGAATAAATCCACATCCATATTGACCTTAAGCCTACCAAGAAAAGGTGAAGTCCATTTGTCAATGGTTAGGCGACAGACGTGAGGGCTTAGCGATAGAAGCCCCATTAGTTTTGCGATAGTGTGTTATACTATCAAAAAATTAGATGATTTATATTTCCTCACGAAAGCTTAACCACAATGGTGTAATTAGGGCAAGTAAGGGTCGAACTCATAAGAAGGAGGCTTAATTGACAATTTCTTTCGATTGATTGTTCTTTTGGTGTAAAAGAAGTAAAAAAGAGGTTTTGTGTTTGAAGTGTTTGAAAGTAATTTAAAGTAAATTGAAATAACAACAATAATAAATGAATCTTAGTTGAACTTCGGTATCTACTTTTAGTTTACTCGTTAATCATCAATTAAATAATTGACTTATCTTAACTATGAATATTCACCGTAAGGCAACAACATGTATGTTATCACTAGCCTTTCTTTAGTCGTTAACCAAATATACGATACCGGATGAATTCCCTAACTACTAAATAACCTACTTAGCGCTAGATAGATTTAATCTAATAATAGCATTAATCATAGAAAGACGAAGTGAAGCTAAGCCACATTTAGAGCTCTAGAAAGATGTAACTTAGTTCTATGTTTTTCAAAGGATTGAACAAAAACATGAAAATAATCATCAACCCCTAGTTACTACCTTAAGCAAGTTTAGACAAGCAATTAGATAGACTTGAATACTTAGCTAGCAATAAGTTAATATGATTAAATAACTAGTGTGTACTCCAATCAATTTAATCACATAACTATAAACCAATCATACAAAAAAACATAAAATACACAAACAAGATAAGTTTAGAAATAAAACCCGTAATCTCACGAGTGATTTTGTGGTGCCCCCAAGCTCACTTACCGACTACCTAAAAGGCATGACTAGGTGCACCACGGTTTAGAGACTAAAGTCTCAAATTTAATTCCATACATATACACGATGTACTCGAATATCATTACAAAAATTACAAAATATAATTTATAAGCAAAGGTAGATCTTATAATTTTCGTGTCACATATGAGCCTTTTTATAGGAGGAACCGGCAGCTTCATTATGAGCATTAGTATCACCTTTACCTTTCATGGCATGAAATAAACACGAGTGAGCCGAAGCCTAGTAAGTAGGGTGATGCACGTGATATGCAATGATTTTCCGACTTCCCCACTTCGACTCATCAAATTTTATTTTCGAGTACCCCAGGATTAGCAAGTCTACTCTATATTTAATACGGGTGAATCACGACTCACCTTCGCTATAATGGAATTATCCCTCTTTATAGCCACTATTAGTGGGAATCCATCGTCTAACGAGTGCAAGCATACAAGTTAGAGTACGTACATATCTGGACCGCTAATACCCCTTTTATCTATTAAGTTACCAAACCTATCCAATTTCTATTTGATTCGATTACCAAACCTCATCGTTTTTTACTCAATGGTTTTTCTCAATTTAATCCATTCCTATATGCATATGATGCACGTGATGTATCATGAACCATATTCTACCAAGTCATGGGTACTAAACCCATCGATCCCGTACCATTGAGTTCACACAAGAAATTCAAGACCCGTCTAATAGGGTTAATCCATTTCATGTATCATGAACCATATTCCATATCTCATAGGCACCAAACTATTTATGTCCATACCATTTTAGAAATTCAATCCACACTTGGTTCTTCATCAATATTTTCATGGTATGATCCAACTTGACCATTTTAGTACCAAGGTCCACTAAGTGTTCTTAGGATATCCAAGTCTATTTATTTTCATCCAAACTCTTTTTTTTAGTCCAAGCCCATTTATTTTAATCCAAGCCCAAGTCCATTTGTTTAATCCAATTCTATTTTATTTTTATTTAACCCCATTTTTATTCTAACTCAAGTCTATTGATTGTAATCCAAATCCCTTTTTATTTTAGTCTAAACCCACTTTGTTTTAAACCAAGTTCATGTATTTTATTCCAAGTTCACTTTATTTTAAATCCAAGCCCAATCATTCATATATTCCAAACCCATATGGTTATATTATGGTGGCTTAGGTGTCTAACTAAATACTTAGGCTAACTAAACACCTTAACTAATCAAGTTTAAGTACCTAAACTCATTTCTTTCCATTAAATTTCGAAAATCCCTCTCCCTAAACTCGAAATTTTCTTTTCCTTTCCTAAAAATTTTCAGCATGTGGTACATCCAAATGATTTGTACCAAATCGGCCATACCTCTTTATATATAGATCTAAAAATCATGAACTTTTACAGAGAGCTAGTAGATACATAGATAAACAACTTTTGTTCTTTGAGTGTTACTCAGAAATCATTCTAAGATCCCTAAACAAATCACACAAAGTTAGGAATTTTCTATCCCTAAAATTCAAAAAATTCTCTTTTAAAATTTTTAAAACACATTCCTCATCACATATAGTTATCACCAAACCAACCTTCTCTTTCTCCTTGCTTTCTTCCCTTTCTTTTTCTCTTTTCTTTCTTCCCTTTCTTTTTCTCCTTTCTTTCCCCACAAAACCGTCCTTCTCTCTCCTCTCTTTGAAAGCTACGGTTTTGCCAAACAAAAATGGCAAAGTTTTAAGCTTTCTTTTTATTTTTATATTACACCTTTTTAAATCATTATTTCTTTCATGTTTTAGCATGCCAAGTGTCCAATTTTTGTGGTAAGAGAGGTCAATTGATGGAGACAAAAAGAGAGGCAAGTTGGAGTGTTTGACCTTCCAAAATTAAGTGAGAAAGTATAAATAAAAGTATGATCAAAGATTTTATGTCACATCACTAACTAAAGAGAGAAACTAAAAGGTAACTAAACTAACCAACTTTCTTACCTTATTTGGTTCCTAAAATTCGACCATGACTCTTAAGTTAGACATATTTTTCACTTAAATGGTCATTTTAAATATACATTATGAAAAAATAAATAATGGTTAATTAAATTTTTTTAAAAATATTCCTATGAACAATTTCATAAACCTTAAATATTTTCACACCACAAATATAAAAGAAATGACATATAATTTATGCTCACATAATCATGAATATTTCAAGAGATTTTGGGCTCGAGAATTAAATTTTGGTATGCCAAAATTATTATTATTATTTTTTACCCAAGCATCTTAAACTCACCAAACACAAACATAACACAAAAATCATAATTGCGACTTGCTAGATGTAGATAAAATTATTTTCGTACATATAACTACGTTAAACAAGTTCATGAAAGTTACAGATTTAACCAAAAGCTTTAATTTGATTCAACCAAAAGTGGTGTTTAGTTATTCATAATGGGTTATAAAGAAAGATTTTTCTATCTATTATGGATGTTGAAAGTTGAAATCCTAAAATAAAACTTTAACATCACTATTTATAGCTAAAAATAAGGTTACATCACTTAGGTGTCGACCCCACATGGCCATACGAGTTGTTGAACAAAGTTACATAGTTTTTTATTTACTTTTACATTATTTGAAACCTTGAATAAAGGGTGTTACATGTTTCGTTGAATAGAGGCATACGACCGTATGC